AGAAGATACAAGTAAACTGTCGAGTACGATTAATTCACCATCGGATTCCCCATACAGTCGTAGTGACGAACATGGGCAACAGCCAAGTGTGATCCATAATTTATGCTGTTCACAAGATGGTGATTTCAGTAATTGTACACCTTATTTATTACCATCTAGACATCAACCTGGATGTTCACTGTCAATTACTACTCCTGTATCAACATTAAAAGCATTGGATAATAGTTTCATATCAGGGAATCCAACAGAATTGGAACGAATAACACGAAATAATAGTTTAGCTTCTTGTAATAGTTTTACAAAACCTAGTAATCAGTTACCGTTAAATTCGAATCTTGCAAGAACAGTATTAAGTAACAATAATGATAAAAGTGATTTATATAAATGTGATAATTCAGGAAATAATATGATCCCATTAGAACACCGTACATTTAATACACTGAATTCAACTGATAATCCTTCAACTATTCCAACTATTATTTATGCATCACAAAATTCAACTTGTAAACAACAGCAAATGAATGCGGAAAATTTTTCCAATAATTATTCTTTACATTTAACAACACAACTTCAACATTCGTTTCCACATCAACTACAATCACAACAAGAAAATCAGCAACAGCAGCAGTCGAATCCTCCTCCTCCTCATCATCATCGTCATCATTCACAGAGTTCATCGCACCCTATGAATACACAATTAGTACCGTCATCTTCATCGTCAGCATCATCATCGCATCAGTTGAGATTTCCATTGGATATATTAGATCAGAATAATGATACTAGTAAATACTCAACTAACAACAGTCGATTACATAATTCTGAACATGAAACTATTCATAGTAATAATAGTAATAATAGTAATAACCACAACGTAATTAAATCAATTTATCCATATTGCAATTCACAAGCAAATTATACATTCCCTGTATCAGGTAATTTACCATCACATCAGGCACATTTAGATCTATTCAATACTACTACTGCTGCTGGTACTACTACTGCTACTATTGCTACTACTACGAGTGTCAGTAACAATAATCTAACTCGTAATAATAATAATAATCAGTTTTTAATGCGTGATTTAACTAATAGTCAACAGTTTGATCACCGTTTCTTAAGTACGATGACTAGTGGGCAGTTAACATTAACTGAACAAGCTTTAGAATTATGTTCTTCATTAGCTGCTGCCAATGCTATTTCACTTAATAATAATAATAATACAATTCATTTGACCAATGAAAAACCAAATCATTTTCATGCTAATTCAGAAATAAAACTTTCACATGAATTAAATGGATCGGTTGATATAACCAATATTGTTTTCAATGATAATAATAATAATAACACCAATAATAATATTCATACTGAAAATGATGTGAAAAATACAGATAGTTTGACAAACGAGAGTAGTAGTAATAATAATGGTCATGATGATGACAATGATAATCAAAACTGCCACCGCCAACAACAATACAACCAAATAGATTTAATGAGTAAAATAAATTTATCAATAAGTGAATGTAATCAACTACGCGTACTACCATCAAATGATTTATCTAGACATCTCTATTTCTCTACTAATGAGTTTATCGATCAGATGAAACAAACAAATAACAAAATAATCGACGAAAATAATGATCTTGATGAAGGTGAAGATCAAGGTGAGTGTGTTGAAGACATAGGCGATGATGATGAGGATGAAGAGGACGACGAGGAGGGAATCAGTGCAGAATTATATGAGGATGAGGCGGAGAACGCAGAAGATGATGATGATGACGATATTGACACAATAAACAGCTACAAAAAACAATCTACAAGACACGATTTGAACTCTAATTCAAATGACTAACTCATTTTTATCCCTTTTATTCGGTATCCAAAAAGGGGACTTAGAAATATATCTTTTATAATTCATACTTACTTTTTATGTAAACCTACAGACTGGTACCCTTACAATTGTAGTTTCATGAGTAAATTAGTCAGAAATCAAAATATATCCATCAATATATTGATGAACTGATTGATGAACACAAGGCTGACCAATTTCAAATTTTAAATGATAATTATTAATGGTTTAAGTCTTATCTACGTTTATCTTTTGTTTAGATATCTATTACTTGTTCTCTACTAATCAGTAGTGTGTTTCAATGTTGAATCAAACTGGAACATAATTTTCACTGTTGAATCTTTCCGTGAAATGTGTTTTTCCTACTAAAAGATCAACTTTTGTTGCACTCTCTTATTTTTATATTTGTGTACATTGATACTGACTATTCTTCTTCACCGTTTTCTCTTTGACTGTTTCGCTTGTTTGTGTTATTTTTCTCGTTGGTTTACCTTTATTTATTTGTATTTTTCAATATAGTTAGTTCAACTACTTTTTTTACTCAAGTATTTTCAACTTCTTATTATTATTTTTTTGAAAAAACATATTTTGTTCTGTTTGAATAAATTATCATTATTATGTAGGTGTATCAGCTGGTCAAATAAAGATGGAGGTAATTAGTGATAATAATGGTAACAATAATAATAATGATAATAAAAAGTATAAAACACAATAGTCTTTCATAAAAAACAAAACTGCATTCACAATCATATAGGACTTCTTATGTAATAGAGGGTAATTGACATCAGTGTTATTCTGATTGTTATTTAGTCATATATATGAGATATGTTACATGTACTTATTTATGTTTGGAATTCTTTCATTCTGTATTATATACAACTGAAAAAAGGTGTACAAAAGTAAAGTAATTAATGTATAGTATATTTCTTTGATCAACTCCTCTTACTTATTGTTCGTAACCATTAGAATTATTGCTTCTCGAATCCCTGTAACTTTTTCTTTCTCTACATTAATAAATACAAAGTGAAGGTTTATACATTCTATCTAATAAGAATAAATCTTATTTTATACGAAATTTCATTGATTGATCTTCAGATCAGTGAAAGGTTATTCATCATTCATTCGAATTAATAACTTAATAAATGTAAAGTATTCACATTTCTCTGTAAAATTAATCTTATTTGTATGAAATACGAAAACAGTATCCTTTTGTTTAAAAAAAATATGTTATAATGTCTTCCATAATGTCAACCAAGAAAGAAAAAGAAAGAGTGAGGACGATCAACAAAACTAAAGATATAACAATTAAAAAAAAGAGAAAATAAACAAAGATGACAGTTAATTCTTACACAATATTTTTGCATTTTTTTCTTCATTTTCACGGAATTGTATGTATAAATGTTTGTACGGTAAATGTGATGTGTAAAACTCGGTGTAAAAAATAAACAGAAAACCATTGTAAAACAACACACGAAATAATTAGGCATTAAAAAAAGAGATAGAAACCCTTTTATGTTTTGATGTCATGATAATATTTCGTTGTTTCACGAAAGAGAAATAAACAATAAAAAATGTGTTACACAGAAATCTTTCCCTTCATTGTCAACCTTACTACCTTTTCAAATTTGGGTGAGATTTTGTTGTTCTTTTCTCTTTGTTTCTGTTTCTTCGTCTTGACTTTGTAAAACTGTCTTCTATGATTCTTCTTGTTTTCCTTCTCACACATTGTTTTGCGTGCTTTTTTTTCACCTTCAATTTTATTTGTTCTCAACTCTTCTTAATGTTTTTCGTTTTATTTTCAATCAATTTCTGTTTATTTTGTTTGTTATAAACTTCAGTAACAGTGTTTATATTTGTTATGATGATATGGTTTTTTGGTTTAAAAGTTTATTTGATCTTGAGTTATTTATACTTTGGAATATTTATATATACATATAAACAAAGTGAGGCTTTATTGAAATTCAATACTTGAATCCGGTATATATATATATCGTTTAGTAAGCGAATTTAACTAAATCGATGTAGATCAATTTCTATTTGGTTTTTGTATTTTACAAGTTATGATAACTAATTAAACTTCAATCACTTAATCAATATGTTTAGGTTTGATTCTTTACGAGAGTGATACCGTTCAATGAAAGAAAAGTAATGTAAAAGAGATGTTAGAAATAGGCTTTCTCTACTAATGCTGATGTTTTCGGCGAGATTACAATTTATGAACGACCTTTGAATAAATCTTAAATGGCCTTGAGAAATATAATAACTAATCATAAAACAGTTAGTATAAAGTAAAAATATATTATACGAAACCGAAAAAATTAAAGTGGATACATTCCTTTTACATGGTTCAAAAGCTTGTAAAGGTTAGAAAGAGTTTTGGAGGTCGTGAAATCGTGGTGTATATGGTAGGGGGTATTAATCAATATGGCTCCATAATAGTCGGCCTTTCGAGTCATGATAAGATCGTAAAAACTCCTTCAGCCTCGACCACATAGCTTCACTATTGTTAGTGTGCACTCCGGTTATAGGGTACACAAAGTGACGCTTATGGATAAGTCTATGCAGGCATCTGTACGCTCTCCAATCTTCTATATATTTTGTATTGCCTGGCTACACATATTTCCGTATAATTGGTATTATGACCCTATGAAAGTATCCCTTTTGAGTTGACCTGTCGTAGATTCCAAGGACCTGTGAGGTATATTTATGGAAGTGTTACTTACCCGGTCTTCTTTAATACTACGTCCTTTGTTAAATTTTCGCTTCCTGACTACCGTTTCGTCTATTTGATTGCCTCAGTCACAAATAAAGAAACTTCTTAGTAATCCCATTTGTTGTAGCCGTTCAATTATCATATCTTCTATTAAATCCGCTGTAAACCGATTGCACGTGAGCATTAGGTACCGAAATTGGCGCCTCGACCTTGAAACCCCTCTAACGCTTCTGATGGGCCCGTCCATAAATTATAGTCTCGCCGAATAAGTGAAATACGATAACATATTATTAGTTTACTGTGACCTTACAGCTTAAGAATTTTAAGTATTCTAATATAATTATTACATTGAATAAAAGATACATAATTTACGCTACAGTTCTGATGATCGCATTTTGATGTTTAGATGTGAGAAATGTTTATGCGTACTTACAACAATCAATATCACAGTCGGAGACGAATTAAACCACTAAGGGTTAAAGTTGAATCATTTTCTTCATATATTTGGCTCCCTCAGGCAGTTGATTATTGCTTTATTTTACCAGCATGGGGATTTGTAGAGATTGTAATATTTTCTCTGCTGAAACTACGAGTAAATCTAAGCTGGACCATCATTAGAAACGTGGAAGCACTGGACGGTCGATTCGTCCTAATATGGGACTCCTCAATGGTGCTCATATGAATATAATTTATAGTAGATATTTGTCTTTTTTTAGCAAGGCAAGGCTAATATAACTATGAAGTTATAGTTTTCCAAATTTAATAGTTGTATTCATGGGTCAATTGAAGCTAGACCACTATGAAAAACCCGGAAGCACTGGACAGTCGTTCCATCCTATTGTGGGATTCCTCAGCAGTGCTCATCCACAATCTCGCCTCGCCAGATTCGAACCCAGGACCTAACAGTCTCGCGCGCGACCGGCATCCAACAATGTTAATGTCTAACTTCAACCAATCCACGAAATTGCGCCACCGTCCGCCATTGTTATCAGTGAGTTGCTATCTCACAACAGACCCGGTTGAACTCCACTGTAAAGTATAATCTTAAAGGTTCCATAATATTTATACGTTTCAATTGAATTCAATAATAAACATTACTGAACAAATTGTAATTTCCTGATTACTACTATTTTAAAAGTCAGACTTACTTTTCTCTAGACATAGGATTATTGTTTTTTTTATTGCTTACGAGTATTCGTTTATATCTATTCGATGAATTTTTGTGTGTGTGTGTGCCTGCATCACTTCTGTAAAATACAATTAAAATGACAAAAAATAATTGAAATAATTTTTTCTGTCGTATAACTTCTACTATCCAGAATCTCTAGAGATTAAAATCTGAACTGATTAAAGCATATTGAGGTAGATTAACTGGACGAAGATTGAGTGCGTACACACACATTCACGCGGATTTGGAAAATGTGAGGAAAAATGTATAAAAAAATCCTGCTCATCTAATTACTTAATCAATGGAAAACAAAAGTCAGCCTGACTAATCAAATATTGTGATGACCTTATATATAGTTATTTGTTTTTAGTTTTTCTCTGAAAATATCATCTTTTCTTTTCAAGATGATTAATTATAAATATTTTTAGTCTTCAGGTTAATTTACCATTGAATTTTTATTTGGAATTTAAATGAAACTTCCCATGAAATAAGATTAGGACAGTGAAAACAGTGGATTTAAATGATAATGAAGTAGCATTGTTATGTTGATATAATCAATCGTTGATCGATTACTGATATGCTTGGACTTCACAGATCAAGTGATACGTTTACAAACTGTAAACATATTGATGATCATTTATATAATCAGGAAGCAGGGATTCGGGATCTTTGGGTGACTGTACCATAGCACCCAACACCAAACAAAATAAGAATCTGATTAACTCTGAGGTCACTGGAAATCATTCAGTTGATCAACATTTTGAATATCAATTGTGTTTCGATAATCTTGTGTGCTATCTCTATGTACATCCATTTCATCCAAGCAACTTCAATTAAACACAGAAGTCACAAGTTTACTTTTTCAATTGTTCTAAGGAGAGCTATTCTGCAAGCGAATAAGCATATCTGTTACATAACTAAGCTATTTCAGATATTCTCGACGAAGGTTTAAAATTGTTTCCAATTTTAATATAAAAATGAGCTAACTGGGAATTTCATAGGATCTCTGTATTGAGCTATGGTAGATCTTTGCTTAAAAGTGTTAATTGAAGATAAGTGATGAACTTGTCCCCCCCATAATTCCCGATAAATAAGATAAAGCTTTTTCTGAACCTAGACATATATTCCTGGTAAAACTCTCGTAATTTATCTTAGGAAAGTAAAGTGTTCCCCGTGTGGAGCCAATCATTTCATGTGCATGAACAGTTGCCTTATCACTATTTAAGATAAATGTTTGTTAAGTGTACATAAACAAATGCATAAGTCTACATCATTCATATCATTCTCTATTCTGACTGTAATTTATCGTATTTATAAACAGACATACATGTTTGGATCTCTCGCAAGTGGGTTATTTATATTATATGTACGAACAAATAACAAAAAACACTTCTTTAATCAGCTTAAATTTGTGTTTATTAATCAAATCTGTCTGTTTACAAAAGAATCAAAGTTCTACTTAGCAACGTTCATAGCAATTTAGGGAAATGTATATCGCGATATCGTTTTATTGCCTAAATTCTTTTATAAACTATAAATTCAGACAGCCATTTCAAACATTTTTCATACAGATCTGCATATTGTATGTTGTTGTCATCATCAGTTATCCGTTTTTAGACATCCTACATTACAAAAGTAAGTAAAGCAGCAATTTAGATAACTAAATTTCAAGCACTGCCACAAACAGACTGTACATTCCACCTTCATCCATTTTGGAAGTTTGGTAGCTCGTGTCACGATAAAGCAGTCTAAATCATAGTACATAAATTTAATCATTATTTCTGAGTTGAATATCCTGCTTTTCTATAAAACTTTGATGTCAATCAAGAGGTCATTTCTCTATATTACATATAACCAGTATCCACAGTTAGATTGAAACAAGGTTGTTCAAGCATAAATCTGACTAGTTGATGCTTTTAATCATAATCCAGATACCTGAAGAAATTTGACTCAGCATATACCATATTTCTTTGGTTAATACTATTATTTAAGTTTTGTATTTTCATCATCATATGAATGAATGATACCAGTAACTGGTGAAATGAAGACTGAAATACTTTCAGTAGCATAGCCCAACTTCAATGCAAAATTATCCCGTATAACATCGTATCACTAGACATTTAGCCAACGCTGCTCCAATGATTACCTGTGATTTGAAAGCAGAAGTTGAAATATGTGTCACAGTGAAATATAAAATTGGTCAAATGTCTCAGCCACAGAATCAAGCTACTATGTTCTGAGGACAGTGTGGATAGCGAAATAGATATACTAAAGAACATATTACGAAAAAATGGCTATCCAGAAAATTTCGGTAAAAAATTCCTAGTAGAAAGCATTCAAAAAGGAAGAAATTGTGACACAGTCAGTAAAAAAAACTCTAAATCTGAGACTGGACTTTAAAGGGGACATAGCGGGTGATATTTTAACATGTCGACTCAAAAGACCTGTTGAAAGGACGTTTCACGCCGCCAAGCTACATATAATTTTCTCAACTAAACCAGTACTCACACAACTAATCAAGGACAGGTTACTGAAGATGGGCTCCTCCATAAGTGTATACCAATTCAACTGCTCCTGTGGAGCTAGTTACATAGGCTGTGCTCAGAAGACTTTATTCTTGCGTGTTCTAGAATATGTACCAGCATGGTTGGGAATAGGAGTCACTAAATCGATCAACAGCACTATCCATTCTCACTTGGTAGATGGTGAACATCATATCAAAATAGAGGAAGCTTTCTCTGTTTTATATCAAGTTTCAAAATATCTACCTCAAGGAGCTAGTTTACTATTACTTTACATAGTCGAAGCCATCTGGATCAACTCCAGAAAACCAAACTTATGTATCCAGAAAACGTATATCCAGCCTCTATGTTTACCTTGGCATACGACAGGATCACCAAATACCTAGACTGAATATTATAAACATCTTACCCCCTTCCTTTTTTTTCCTTAATATTATTATATTTTGATTACCTCTATCTTAATCTTCACATTCATCATTCCCAATGCGTTTACGTAATTACCTTGATAACACCCCACCTTATTACATATTATATTCACACAACAATATTATTATTGTTATCTCAATTGACAAGATTAAATTCTCCTATTATACACTTTATTCACACAATTTTTTTGCATTTTCATTTTTACTATAATACTATTCTAATGATTGTGACGGGACACTTTACTCCAAATCATTCTGACCTTTATTAAATGACCTTCCTAATTTGCAAATAGTACAGTTTTGAAGTATATATATCGTAACAGA